TGTCAAAGTGTACCCAGGCTGATTCAATTACTTTAGATCTACGCTTTGACAGAATAAAATTATCTTCTTATCTTTTTTATACTGTTATTTTCACTCTAACATATTAAACATTAGGTCTATCACATCTACGGTACTTAACTTCATACAGCTATATTATCCTTTTCTATTATCTGTCTATTGTTGTCTGTCTGCTGCTTCCCGCTCGTCTCACGCTATTTATATCTTTATTACATAGTCGTCTGGTCACATTCTATATTCTCGACACCAATTAGTTATTAACAAAACCTTCTACAATCGTCTGCTTTTAACTCTTATTATAATAAAATATAAAATTCATAAAATATTCACTCACAAATATAAATTAATCACTAATATCTAACGCAAACAGTCTTTTATATCATGACACATATAGTATCAAAAAGAATTATCAAATGTAAGTCTTTTTATTTGATTGTGATATTGATTACCAATAAAAGCTCTCTTGAGGTCTTCTGAAATTAACAAGGCTGGAGTTTATAGCAATTCAGTTTAGGTTTTAGCCAGTATCTGATTATTCCTAAGTTAATAGAACAATATGAATATCAATTAAATGTTGCCATGTAAATTTTCATGCCTTGCCTTTCTCTAGATATTCTAACAATGTGTCTAAAAGTTAGTTTTCTTTTTGTCAGTTTTATTAGATAGGACCCTGCAGCTCTTATAACATAAGACTTGTTACAGAATCGATTTTTCACTTAGAAGTTAGAATTTTCTTGGGAAATATGTTTTTTGTTTTGTTTATGCCTAAAATAAGTGAAAATTCATAAGTAACACATTTAAAACAAATTTTTGAAAACATGCATTATATTAACCAATGCTCTAGTCTCTCTAAATATGATTATAATTAATTATAACTATCTACTCTTAATTACAATGTTTGGTTCTAAAGTTTTTATTTTCATATCAATCATATTAAAAATAAAGATATAATCTTTGAAATTGCCAGAGTATAATCTGATTGAGCTAATCACTTACAGAGTATATTAATGTTATTTTAACTTTGTTTTACTTATTTAGGTTACTTTAGAACTATATGGTTAACTCTGATTAATTCAAAATACTATATCATTACAGTGGAAGTCTTTTCTATTGCATAAAAAATACAAAAATTTAGTTACAGCATTACACAACTAACTTTAAAATGTTATATTAGCATCATACCATCACTGTGAAAATTAAGAACTAATGCAATTAGTGTGGAGAAGTTAAAATACTGTTATTACTTGTGAACAGAACAATAACATATTATCTTAATAGACTTTCTAGTTTTATTCCTCTTTATCCCTAATAATTTTCAAAGCTTGAAAGATGACATTATAACTGTCAAATGTTTTGTCTTACAAATTATGCTGATGTTATTCTAATTTTTATGTTGTTTGTCTTTAAATTTAGACTACTTCAAGAATATTAAAACAGTACATACTTGCCTAAGAAATAAAATGATTTATGATAACCCATTTCCCTTGGTTGGTTTACAAAGCATTTGAGTAACTGTATAGTTATAGATACAATATTTAAGACTCCAATGTTGTTCCAATTGTGGTTATGAACATGTCATGTCACCTTAAAGTACGAGCATGTGAACACAAGGGCACATCTTTAAAAAACTGGAAGAAAGGTTACAAAGCCTCCCAACTCTGCTATATATCAGCACAATACAGAAACATGACATCTGATTTCTTTCTCCAACTTTAAAATTCTCTCAACAGCCAAACATGATACTGAACTTCTAATAAAAGAAACATTATACATAAAAACGTTTCTTCAGTCCCTAAATAATACACAGTCTTCACTTGATTTAAACTTATATTATTGAACTATTTCATTTTAGCCCAATTTTTCATTTTCTCGTGTTACATTTGTATATTCAAATTGTTTACTTATGTATATATTTCTGTTGTAATTTCAAATATTGTTTGTTTGTTTGGTACCTCTACATTACTGATAATAGAATTATGATGATTCTGAAATGTTTAATAAATGCTTCCTATTATCACATTCACATTTTGTCTTATCATTAAGTTAAGTTTTCCAAAAGATGAGTCAATTACAAATTTAGCTCAGTTACAAATGTACAATGTTTAGAGAAGGTTTTGTCAGATAGTACATATGAATTTATATAAAGTATAAAACAAAGAAGTCCTATGAGTGGATATTGCTTAAAGCTTAATAAAAGTATCTTGTAAATTTATTGAGTTGCAATGCTTGTAAACATGAAGTTTTTTTATTATGTTCTCCAAATAAAATTGTAATCAAATCAAATAAATTTCGTTAGGTTTATTTTTTAGTGAGTATGGTAAGCAATTGCAAAATATTCTGATGACTCAAATCTTTACTGAATATTATTTTTATACCTATCCTATTCAAACAACATGCATAAATTGGGTAACTGGCTCCTTAATTATTTCTAATTGCAACTGTAATGTGTTTTAAGTAAAAACACTATTACCCTTATCAGTGAAAGTAAAACATTTTCATGATCAACCTGTCAGATTTGCAGAAAATCAATGTGGGATTATTACACGTTTTAAAAACAAACATAATGGTTAACACATGGTGGTGTTTAGTCAACATTAGAAATTCATTCGTCTAGTAGGAAATGTCCAAATTATCTTTAACAAAAAATAATAATTATTTAGACAAAATGTATGTCTTTTGTAAAAAAAGAATAATACAATGTTTAAAAAAGTACTGAAGCTAGTGCACATTCATTTTCTTTTTTGTGGATAGGGAGGTTGTAGGGGGCATCCACTAATTGATTAAAGAGTGTGTCAATTAATAGATTAGCAGATACCACTAATCACCCAGCTCTAATGAGAATACTTTTTTTTTTAACTCAGGCATCTACTGTATAATGGTGCTATATTTAGGTCATACTTTTGTAGTAATTCTTTCAAAATCTTTTACTTAGAATTGCTTCTCTTTTAATCAAAATAAATCATGAAAAATTAAATACACAGAAAAAGATCATAAGGTATTCAATAAAAAGGAAACACACATCTATCTCAGGAAATCTGTATTTTTTTGCCTACACAAGTAGGTAATGAAGGTAAATTATAGAGTAAAGAATAACAATGTTGCTACAGAAACAGCTCTTTACATGGAAAAACAATGAAAAGTTGTAGTTCAGTTGTAAAAGATCACTCTTTCAATGCCTTTCATTATTTTCTCTCTACAAGAAGGATAAGCTGAATTTATCACCCATTTTTGTGATACAGCTACAAAGCAATGGTTTGGGTTCTTCCAAGTGTTCAATTTAGATGCCACAGATAATACTTCTCCATTAACTTTCTATCAAATTTTCTTCTGAAAACCAGCCTTTCAAAAATCATCCAAACCAGAAAACAACCAAGATACAAAGAATCTGTTTTTTCACTTCAAAGGCATCTTTACTGGTTTTGACACCCACACTAGTTTGAGAGCTAATAATAATTGTATAACCAACCTGCATTATTCACGTCGTACTTTCTTCTTTTTTTGTGGCTTCAAATCTTCCTTGATATCTGAATCAGAAAAGTAATAGTTCCAAAAAATAAGCATATTTTTAAACTAATTTTCTTTGTACACTTATAGGTGTCTTCCTATAATTAAACTTCTTCACTACACACATTTACAAAAACCTGCTAAAACCAGGTGAATAAACAGAACTAGAAGTTCATCAAATAACATTTTTACTTTTATCAAATAATAAAATAATAAAAAACCAATCTGTGAGTCAGGGAGACATGTTTGATGAGTTTATTCTCAAACAAAACTTTATGGTATTCTCTTTTTAAAATTCTGAATAGACACTTGAGTTCCTTGTGATATCTAAATTTAACCTACTGAGTTTTACTTACCACCTAATTCATCAAATTCAGCATTAGTGGAGCTCTTATTACCATCAGCCTGTTTCTCTGTACCATCACTTCCAACTTTGGCTATTAAATATGTTCAAAAAACAATATATATATAAAATATTTTAAATTATTTGATAATAGATAGAAAAAGTATTATATGAATTTGAAAATAGTGATTTAAACAAGATTATAATATCCACAATAAAAATTAAATTCTAAAATTTATTGTAGGGGAAATACCTGGAATTACTTATTAGAAAATTTCATATATTATATAGGTGAATTAATGAAGTTGTATCACCTTTCCTACATAAGACCTGCTACTGTGTTGATCTCTTTAGAATCATCGAAGATCCAGGTAGTAGCATGGAAGGGTGAAGGATGGGAGCTCTACTAATAACTTAGGTTGGGCATAGTATAGTGGTGATCCTGAAAGGCGATGATAAGCAACAGTGAATAGCCCGAATAGGACACAGGAGCTGATCCAGGTCTAAATGATCATAAAAGTGAGAGACAGAAGGAAGGGAGATAGGAGAGAAAGTACACTTACCTTTCCGAGTGATGAAAGTCTGTGGAAGGAGAGATCGACACAGAAGAAAAGTATATAAATGAAGTGGAAGAGGGTATGAGAAGCATCACTAATAGACTTCTGAATGACAGCCATCACAAAAAAAGGAGGAAATAACTGGAGAGAAAGATGGTAGAAGAAGCAAGAAGCCAATGACTTGAATGGAGCATACATGAGAGCATGCAAAAACAGAGTAAGGTCCCAGTAAGGAATGGGAATCAGGTAAGGAGGTCGGAGAAGAGTGAAGGAGTGAAACTGAATAAAGATAACAGGAACAGAAACACCCTGTAGTACCAGGAAAGGCAAAATGCAATGGATGTGGCTGCCTAATAATCACCAATGGTGGAAACCAACAAATCATGGACCAAGAACCACGTAGAAATGCAGAAAGGTGGTTCCCAGTAAAACAGCCAGGAAGAAAGGAGTGGTGGGCAGACCAACAGTGAAAGACCCACCACTTTTGTTGATATACAGACATAGTGGAAGGGTGACAGGAATGGGAGAAGAAGAATGCCACATGATTGGAGAGTCCAGCTCAATGTGAGATGGACCAGACAAATCCCACACACGAAGATGGAGGGATGATATCCCACTATGAAAACAATAGAAGGAATATTGGGTAGATGAAGGGGAGTCTGGATGCTAAGGAAAGAAGCAGAGGAAGCCAAGGCTGAGCTGGCCAAAGAGGTGCCAACAATACGGCCTGACAAGGAGTGTCATGTATCAAGGTGAGGACCCAAGGGAGGAGGCTAGGCATATAAAAAGAGATGAGACCAAGTTTGGGTGAGAGCACTGACAGCCAGAGCTGAAGGATGATATACAGGAAAGCGATAGAGAGGGGTGCCCAGCTGAGAGCAAACCCATCGAAAGATCTGGGGGAGTAGAGACTATTCCAATGATAGAATGCAAACTGGTAGAGAGAGGTGATGTGTCGCCAAGTTCTTGGCTCCCAGCAAATGACAGAAAAAAGACTAACCCAATGTGACTGGGAAAGAAGAGTAGGTCCAATGCTTGAAAGATACCTCCTAAATGGTTGATGTATGAAATGACTGTGAAATTGTTGGAGTGAATCATGACCAAGTGATCCACCAGTAGGAGGAGGAATGGGAACATGCCTGACAAACTGAGAAGCTTGAGCATGTTGATGTGGAGTAAACACTCATCTGAATCCAAATGCCAGAAGTCATCTTCATTGAGAGATGTGCCTCCATCAGAGAGTGAAGCACCAGTGAAGAGGTTGATCTAGTTTAGGAGTTGGTAATGAAATGCTGGAAGTAGTATGAATATGGTCCAGTCACCATGACAATTCCTCAAGGAGAGAAGGTGGGAGTTTCACTAAAGAGAACAATGGAACCAAGAAAGAATCTCTTGGATCTGCAAGGAGCACTGGAGAAAGTGCATGTGTGCATGTTCCAAAGGAATGAGGGAGTTCAAGGAAATCAGAGTTCCCAAAAACAAAAGAACTTCTCGTGTAGGATGAGAAGTACAAACTATGGTGACAAGAGACACCATAAGTTGCAGGTGAAGAGGAGAAGACTGGACTGAGCTAAGACAAGATATGGATAAAATGCCCAGAAATAGCAAATATTGAGTGGGGAAACAACTTAGATCTCATGACAAACCACCCCAGCAGAGTAGCCTCCTGTAAATGAAGGGAGGAGTGAGAAGAGGATAACATCCAAGAATAGATCAATAGAAGTCATTCATTCAAAAAAGGGAATGCTAGCATCAGGCCATGAATATAGCAGTTAAAGTCCCTCACAATACAAATGAATACAAAATTGCAGATGTTATGTCAATGGGAAGTGCAAGATATTAGAGGAGGTTAGTCCAATGAGTGGAGTGTAGAAAATATATGGAGGACAAGTCAGGAGGGATGTGTAGGAAGGTGTCCAACATATGAACCATGGCCAACTGCAGACTGGGTGAAAAACACTAAAGACAGGGAGGAAAAAAAGGAAATGTGAGATGGAGCAAAGAGAAAAGAAATGAATAGAGAGACTATGGTGGAGAAAGGGAAGGAGGAGAAGAAGAGATGGGTAACCATGGGTTCAGACATGAAACAACAAGTCGCTGACAAGAAGAGCAATGAAGTACATGTCTGGTTGAGAACAAGAAAAAGAGGAAGGCCTGGAACCTGGTACAGAAAGGTTTGGGGTAAACTGATTCAGATGAGGAACAAAAGTAAAGGGCAAGGTCAAGAAGGAAGAAAAACCCGAAAACATAACAAAGACTGAAGTTGTACAACATCAGTCCAGGTCTCCAGAGAGAAATGTATACCCCCAAAAAACATTCAGCCAAAGAAAGGGAGCTCAAAAACACTATGTACAAAAGATGTAGAAAAGATTACATTAAAGAGGAAGAAAACCTGATCCTATGAGTCCCAACATCAAGGGAGCAAGGTAGGGAGGGACAGAGCAGAAAAAATGGAACAGGCTAAGCTGGCAATGAGAATGGAACAAACTTTACAGAAAACCCCTCTGGAGTACAAGGAAGTGCCTCGCACAAAAGGTGGAGGTAGTAGAAGGAATACAGAAAGGTGGTGTGAAAATGACAAATATGCAAAAATGGGGAACCAGAAAGTGAAATAGATGGTAACGGGCCCAAACCCCAAGCAAGCTAAATAGATACCAAAGACAGAGAATTGAGAAAGAAAAGGAAGAATGTCTACAAGTCACGACAAAAAAGTCAAAAAAGCAATGTGGATGAGGCATTTGAGTGTGATAGAGGAGCTATTAAAGAGAGAAAACAGTATAACCCTAATAACAAGCAAGGAGGAAAGACAAGGTAAACCCCAAAAATTGGAATTATGGAGTAAAAAACAAGAAATACTACTTGAAACAAAAGTCAAAGAAAACAAAAAACAAAGTTTTGTTAATAAATGCAAATCTCATCAAATTGAACTCAGACAAGAAATTATGAACACGTCTGTTAAATGCAATGCCGAGGAGAAGAAAGAAATTAACAGGAGTGCAATTGCATAGGGGAAGTTACTGTGCATGGAAGTGGAAGGCTTTTGTTGCATGATGCCATCATCATGCACCTGCACAGTTCAAGTTAAACATATGAATTTAGGTGGAAGTTTAAGCTTAGTTTAAGCTGCTAATATTAACTAAGTTTGACATCACATAATTTAAGTTGTTAGATTAGTTTTTATATTTATGTTCTTTTTCATATTACACATGCAAATCTCCTAGGCAGGAGAAATATAGTATTTCTGCATATGGGGTGAGTTATTGTTTTGGAATGCATTACTTCACAAATCAATTAGTAACTTTAAAAACTATTTGACTTCTTTTATATAAGGACTAAGTATTTGCAGTAGCTTTCTCAGTTTAGAAAATTCAACAGAACATTTTCATGGTTAGAGAAATGACAACTAACTTGCTTAGGTGGCTGTTTGATCCACATATATTATCCTGAATATAAAATACGAGAACTCTGATATATTGCACTTGCAGAAAATATTCCTTTCCATTCCTTCAACACATTTTGAGGAAAAATCACTCAAGACTGTGTACTTTCACTTTAGCATAAATAACTTATCAAAGCCCAAAATTAAGAAACTAGAAGTTTATATAATTATTGCAGTAAAATAAGCTGTAAATATCATAATTTCACTATCTCACTTTCTTACTATAACCACCTTATAATCTTATACCTTGACCACCTTAAAGTCTTACCTAGAATACTTTTCAGCATTACCTTATCAGCTTACAATCTTTCCTAGAATAAGTTATGGCATTAACATGATCATCTTACCTAGTATACCTAACAGCATTTTCTTGATGATCTTACAATCTTACCTAGAATACCTTACAGCATTTTCTTGATGATCTTACCTAGAATACCTTATAGCATTACATTGTACATCTTACAATCTTACCTAGAATACCTTATAGCATTACATTGTACATCTTACAATCTTACCTAGAATAAGTTATTGTATTAACATGACCATCTTACCTAGTATACCTTACAGCATTTTCTTGATGATCTTACAATCTTACCTAGAATACCTTACAGCATTTTCTTGATGATCTTACCTAGAATACCTTTCAGCATTATCTTACCAGCTTACAATCTTACCTAGAATACCTTATAGCATTACATTGTATATCTTACAATCTTACCTAGAATAAGTTATGGTATTAACATGACCATCTTACCTAGTATACCTTACAGCATTTTCTTTATGATCTTAAAATCTTACCTAGAATACCTTATAGCATTACCTTGTCCATCTTACAATCTTACCTAGAATAAGTTATGGTATTAACATGACCATCTTACCTAGTATACCTTACAGCATTTTCTTTATGATCTTAAAATCTTACCTAGAATACTTTACAGTATTACCTTGACCATCTTTGAAGTTACTCACTTTCCATTCCCAAATACAAATATTCCAAACAAATTATATTACACTGTTTATTACTCTCAGCTTAATAGATACAGTATAATTTATTCAATACGAAAAGATTTTGTGGATAGAGCTGATAAACTCATTTGTACTTTTCATAATTGAGGTTTCTCTTGCAAAAATTCATTCAATTGTTTGGAAAATTCAACAAAATATTCTTGCTGAATATTATGAGTTTATAAGTTTTACTGAGTATCACAACCTCTAAGACTTTCACATTTACAATTTCATTCCTTGGGATTTTATTTAGGTAAATAGTAAACAGCTTTAGTGTACTGACTACCATTGGGTTTACTAACCATTAATTTAAGTTGTTAATATTAACTAGTTTGACATCACATAATTTATATAGTTAGATTAGTAATTTATATATACATTATTTTTCATATTACATCTTATGTATTTGTACATACAACATATTATTTATGTAGATTACTTGTACTTCTAAAAGGTTTATTGTGTTTCCTCTTCAGCTTTTAGAGAAGAGTTAACGTTATTTATTACTTCCTGTAGTAACCTCTAAGTATTTGTTAAAGACAATAGTCAGACTGGTGATAAAAGTTTTTAGACAAACTACATATTAAATATAGCTAGTTGTTTTCTTCTGATTAGATTTAACATTATTATATTATAATGGACATATCTGCTATTATTTCATTTTTCATTTATTACTTTGTATCTTTACAAACATTGGTTTTTGTTTGTGTCATGGGAAGGTTGAACCTGAAATGGTTTAAACTAAAACATTGGTTTAGTTGTCACAGGTAGAATAGCCTCTGATCTTATATAGTTGGGGTGCCATAATGAGTTTTTTTTTCGGTAAAATGTAGTGTTAGAGAGAGCAAGATTCTTAACAAACATGCATCAATAACTATGGTTCAAGAGAAGGTTTATAGGTTCTCTAAGTAAACATGCTATTTTATTTATTGTCGTGGGGATTTTGGACTTGGCTGAATTAGTAAATTAAACCTGACATTTTTCATATTTCAAACATTTTTATTTCAATGGTTATACTATTTATTATATTAAATGTTGTTACTTTTCATTTAATTTTATTGTTTATTATAATACTTTAATTATAAAGATTGTTTTGCACTGTTAGCTTAGAACTTGGGTTGTGGACTAACTTGAATCTCCTAAGCTGGCAGAACTTTGAGAAATATTACTGGGATTATGGCCAAAAATATCATTAACAGCAAGGATACCCAACTGATAAAACAATTCATTCTAATCTTTATAAGTAGCAACTTAAGAAATGTATATTTAATTGGCTATACTGCTGGCCATGTTAATTTTTAATTTTGCTCTACTTACATAGATTACTCTGATCATAAGTTATAATTATCTTACAACCTTACCAAGAATACCTTATATAATTACCTTCACCAACTTATAAGCTTATCTAGAATACATTACAGCATTATGTTGACTATCTTGCATACTTATGTTGAATACTTCACAGCAATACCTTGGCCATTTTACAACTTTACCTAGAATACTTTACAACATTAACTTGATCATCTTCCAAAAGTATTTCACAAAATTACACTAACTGAAATCTCACAGCTTTATTTACAACATTACCTTGAATAGTTTTTTTGCCTATTAAGGAAGTAACTGATTTACTATTTTCAGTTTCTGGAGCTAGCTGCAGGAGTTCTGCTGCTTCAAGCCTTCTTTCCTGATCCTGCTGTGCAAGATCATCACTACTTGCCACAACCATATTATCTGAAACTGTTGTTTTCACAGTCTCTTGTTGGTTCTTTTTGGTCTTTTTCTTCTCATTTTTCTTCTTTTCCATAGTTTCTTCTTCAATAACTGTTTTACTTTGGTTAGACATACTAGCTGTTACAGAAGCCACTTGCTCATCAGGGCCTCTTGGAAATGTCTCTTTAGAAGCAGTAGAATTGCAGATAGTTACAGGAGATAAATTCTCTTTATCTTCTCTTGTCTTAGAAATTTGCAGGGATTTTGGACTCAGCTGAAATAGTAAGTTAAATGTTAGATTTTCATGTTTCAAACATTTTTATTTCAAATGATTAAAAAATAAACTAAATAAAAATGAAAATGGTTCATATGTTAAAAAAAAGATAGAGACAAATCTCTTATTAATAATTAAATTATTTAATTATCAGAATCACACTATCAGATAATCTTAGTTAGAAACCTTGTAATTTAATACAAGAAGCTATAAATTACAAAAGAAATAAATAAACTGTCTTGTTATCAGAAAGAATAACTACTAGGTGAGCAGTCCCAGTTAGAATGTAAAAAGTAGTAATGGGCAAAACGTTCAAAAGATCAATATGATTTATCAAATTTACTTATTCGATTTTGAAAGGATTTGCATAATATCCAGGTAATAGTCCATAAAGAACTCAAACTGGATGCCAGATAAAAATTAGGCCGATTTTGGTAAAACTATGAACCTAACTAAGGCTCACCTATTCATTAACGAAAACAGGAAACCATATTACCTACTATACAAACACATCTAGTTAAAAGTGGCAATGCACTACTGTATCAAAAACATTAGAGATCTGCAAGAAAACCTCCTAATAAAGCCATCATTATTAGCTAAGTTGCTATGCATAATCCCAAATGAATGTTTTTTTAAGATCTCTGAAAAAACAAATATTGAGAAAGACACCTAACATTATATAGGTTTGACACATACCAAGACCTTAGTGGCTAAAATGGGAAGATCTAATATGTCAAAAGCCACTTCACCTGATCTGGCAATGGTACATCATGATTTCAAGTTCAATGCAGTTGCAAAATATCATTAACAAATGTATGCTGTAACATGTTAAAATTAATGTTTGATCTGTTGAAAAAAGTGAAATCTGCTAGAAAAAAGTAAAAAAAATAAAAAAACATACAAAATTGGCAACTTTAACTGAGCAAGAATAGATTTAAACAAACAAAAAAAACACTAAAATTCTAACGCATTGTAAGATGATGAAAAATGTCCTAGACAAGAGCTGGTACAGGATTTTTTGTTGAATAACTGTTTAATTGTTCATTGCAATGTCTGTGATGTTTCAAATACAAGCACTAAAAAGAATTACATAATAATAGTGATAAATTATAGGCAATTCTAAGCAGTGCCCAAGTTTCTGAAGTTAAGTTGGGGAATTAAAAAAAAACAGTGAAATAATGATAACAATATACAGGTACTTCTAAACAGTACCTCAATTTCTGAAGTTGACGTTTTTTCTTCTTGGTGAATATTAGCTGATAAGTCTTTAATTCCTTTTGGTTCACGTTTTGCCTTCTGTTTTTTCTTTTTGGCTGGTGTACTTTCTTTACTTTCTGTTATTATAAATGACAATCAATTGTATTTCAGATTTACAAGTTTTGACATAAAGTCCTTTGCTCATCATTAATAACTTAAAATACCTCAGGTTTTTGAATAAAATACGAGTGTACTGTCACAATAAAATATTCATAATTTTTCAACAGACTAGTTGGTAAATTAGCTGCAAATTTTTCTAACACTTCCTAAAATATGTAATTTCAGTAAAGAAAAGAAACAATCCATGAATTATGCAAAGGCCTACCTATTGTTTGATTCACTACTACTCCTGCAGTAGACTAGTTTCACCAAATATACAGTTTATCATTAGAGTATGGGAGAGCAAACCAAACAAGCACAGTAAGCCTCTTAAGGTGATTGTGACAGCATAGTCATATTTTATTCAAATATCTAAAGTACTTTTGTTATTAGTGATGAGCAAATTAGTTTACTTCAAATCCCGAAAAATGTTTGAATTTCATTATTACAATATGCTTACTGTACTTCTATGGTTTGCTTCCCCAAGAGGTACTGATGAATCATGCATTTAGTGAAACTAATGTACTGCAGAGGGAGTAGCAAATCAAAGAACAAATTAGGTCTCTATATTATTCATGGATTACAAATTTTAGTGAAGAGAATAAAAATTCAAAATCAATGTATTTGATACTGCTTTTTGTTTTGACAAAACACTGAGTAACATTTACAAACAAGCATGATACATAGTAATTTTTTTACCCAGCTCATTTGATTACAATGCTCAAAATTATAACTTGTCATAGAATTTAAAATACCTCAAGCATTTTAATCACTTCTCGAAATTCAAAGAAGAGCTAAAACTAATTTGAATTTCTCAGCACTTCCTGATGAACACTCTTTCTGAATATGCATATTTGTTTTTTCAAACTTTAAGAACTTGTACTTTTTCTCTAATGCTTCCTACACTCACCTGCATATCATTTATTCATTTGTTAATGAACCACAGTGTTAAAATTAAGTTTCAGAGAATTCAATTTTTTCCACCCAAGAGCATTCACTTATACTGCTTTAAAGTTTTTAAATATTTACTTTCATTTTCTAGTTTGGTTTTCTAACACACACAGTAATATTATACTCACATCTAGAGGTACACAGTTGTACCTATCCTCTATTATTTTCACTAACTATATCACAAATAGATAAATATGGCAAGACACTTCCAATAATAACAAAAAATTTGGCTTCTGTGAAAATGATACAAGAAAAATCTGAAGACAAAAAGAGCTGAATCTCTACAGCACTGTATATATGTATTTCAAATTCACTGACAGAGTTCTGAAATTTTCTCTTGAGAAAAAAGGAAAAGAAAATACAAACAGCATCTAACAAAAGGAAAGAATGGGAAAAAAGATGATGGTTACAATGTACACTTTCCATACCCGTGTCTTCACTTGGCAATTCTTTATTCATTTCCAATATAGGTTCATTCAAGTTTTCTTCTTTCCGTCGGTTTTTCTTCTCTTTTTTGGATAACAGCTGTACCCATTCTCCTAAGAACAAGATAATATTCATCAGTAAAGTTTTCTGCATAGAAAGCCTTTACTCTCTCATTCACTATGATTTGGAAATAAATTCATAAAACAATGAGTGCTCTAAATTATTCAAATTCTTATATGTTGAAATTTTTCCTATTACGAAACATAAAGAAACTTATTGACCATCAACTTTTAGATATCTAAGTATTTAACTATCAGTAACTTTAACACAGGAGTAATGCTTTTTACATTACATCAGATAATGTGACAAACGGACTGACCTCCATCATCAAGAGAGATGGTTTCTGTAGAACTGATTGGGTCCATTTCTTTCTGCTTAACCACTTTACCTTGTTGATCTTTCTTGGCCTGAAACAGATCATTAGTCATTTAAATGAAATGTGACATAAATTACTTCTCTCAAAAATTATCTGGAAGTCCTGGTAAGATTAAGGTACATAATCATCATTATACTTTTATATTTAGTGATTCAAATAGAAATATAAAGATATGGTTATATGGATTTAAATAATTAATTTTTTCTGCACACAGATTTGAAAAACATCACTGGAACCTACCATGAATGATTTATATTTTTCACATAATATATGTTGGATATTTCTCACCTTCACTTCTATCTTTGGTTTCTCTAGCCTTTCTACCACAGCTTTTTGTTTAGAATGCTGAGGCTGATCAGGAAATTGTTTTGGAAGTGAAGTTAAAACTTTGATATTAGCACCACTATCTAAAGGTTTCTCATTCTGTAGAGACTTGTGCTGTAAAGCATGTGAAATAATGTTACAATGAATAACTGTTCTTGAATTAGACTATAACTTTATTACAGTATACAGTGGGCACTAGACCAAAGTGTTATGTTATTTTTGGCAGAATCTCATTTTCCTGAAATTTTACTTATTATAATCACAGTTTTTTAAAACTTCTTGAAATCTCTACATAATTATAACATTTAAATTCATCTTTAGTATAAGAAGGCCCAGAAAATTTAAAAACCTCAGAAAAATTAATTAAGAAAACAGTTTAGTATATTAGCTTGTTCAACTACTTATATTTCGATTTACTTCAGCATGCCAAACTTTTTTATATTTTCATAAAGTGTCCAAAAAAATCTTTCTTAATCATTTCTATACTTGCTCAGTCTCCATAAGTTAGTATTAAACATTAACAACTGCATTAAAAACATAAAATTATGCAATGTAAATTTTATATAAATGTAAAATTTTAGATGAGAGTGAAACAAGAATAAATTCTTAGGGTTAAGTAAGATCAACAAAATTTAGAAAAAAACTCAGAAATTTCTTTAAAGTTTTATCTAATCTTGGAAGGTTTATAAAAGACTGGATATTTGTATTGAATACTAACAATGATGGGCTAGATCTTTTCCAACCAATGATTTTCTTTAAAAAAAAACAAACTGTGATAAACGTTAGAAGTAACAGAATAAAGTTAAACCAGTCATACCTTCAGAACATTTGGATAACATATCATCTATATCTTCTTCAGTTACACTTTTCTATGGTGAAATAATTTCTTAGTAATTTTACTATTACTAATATTTGTAGTAATAACCAGTAGATGGTGTTATTTTTCTTTTGTACAGCAAGGACTGAAAATATTTTATGTATTGGTTGCATAGTATCCAATGAAATAAATATTCTGATCCATATATACATTAAACCACTTCTTACATAATAAAACAACTTTGTATTTATTTAAAAGAAAAACCCTTTATTATGATGATACTTAGTAAAGACTTTCTTCTTAGTAAAGGATTTTTAAGTATGCATATATGATTGTAGTTACAGTAAGCAACACATATGTATATATACATATTTAGCCCAAATGAAAGCAATATTAAAATGTAAATTAAATTTTCATTACACTATTGATATTATTACACATATATAATAACTGTCGAAGACAGTAGAATACACAGGAATTAACAAAACGTTCAAATGACAGTCTTAAAATTAAATTCTATTTCTAAAAGAATAAATGGTATATTATTAATAGCCACATCGTTAAATTTAGATCACCTTCTGGTTCATTTTCTTCTTTTTGCTAGCTTTTCGGTCTTCTTGAATTACTTGATCAAAACTAGGAGGTTGAACCGGTGACTTAAACCCAAAAGCAAATACTAAAAGTGCGCAAAGGATAACCCCTACAACTGGAAAAGCATAGTGAGGATTGACAACTTCTTCAAACTGCATTATTAATTTTTTTATTTACTTCAATATATTCAGCACAATAGAAATCTAACGCCGCCCACCAAATCTTAACAGCCCCACTATTATACCACTAAGTCACTGTCTCATCCATAGACGTCATCACTCATACATAATATCAACAACCACTTGGTTTAGAATACTAAAGCGTCCTCTGCTTAACTAAAAAGTAAACTAAATAACAAATAATAATTAAAAATAATACAATGAATTCTGGAATAAATATTTCTATTTTTCTGTCAACCTCACGTTCGGGAGTAGGATATTTTTCTTACACTCCTGTTGATAGCTGTTTGTATATTTTTTCTTCTCATGTAATCTACATATTATCTCAGTTTTCCCTTCAATGATTTCACTATGTAACAAGGAAATAAACTGGCAGTTAGCCCCTCAAATTTTCAAGTATACTGATGTTCGTTAGATAACGTGTAACCTTATCAGAACTGATGTACAGTTACCACTTGAAAAACTTTGGTCATAAACTGTTTTGTATAAAAAAAACTGTACTTATTTAATGGTAGTAAGGTAACCCTCTTATATTTTTGCACGAATATTCAAAAGTAAAAAAAGACTTTTTAGTGGTTCTATCAGGAGAAATAAGAAGAATAATGTGTAGAATATTTACTTAGACGTATCCAGTGCTCGAAGTGGGGTAAGCTCGCGCATAAAATGGTGATAGCGTTTTTCATAAATAAAGATGTACAAAAAGTGAGGGTACGCAAAATGCTAAATTAGAGAAGTGGGATATGAGTACCCTTCACTTCGAGCACTGGGCGTATCCAAATACATTACATATTAAGAAGAGATAGGCGTCCTTAAATGATATTAGAGAACATTTGCCGGATATTTACGCAAAGCAATACCACGGATAATCTTGAACTGTAGACTAAAAGGTTTTGTTTATTACGTCACCCCTAAAGCGAATATACAACTCAAAAGAGCGTAGTGTGACTATTTTTTTTTTGTAGTAACAAGACGCGAAAAATGGATCTGTATGTTTGTAGTTCAACATGCTAACCACAGGGCCACGCTCGGTTCTACCTGCCAACATAATCTTTATAGTTATAAAGCAATAATGTCCATGGGTCAAACTCGCAACGGTGGAACGGAAAATTTAATAGCAGTTGTTGTTTGTCTCAGTACTGAGATGTGTGCTCTGGAGTATCAAATTATGTCAGAGGTTTTACGTTTTATCAAAAATACATTCTAAAGTTAAGCATAATTTACTGAAAAATTCTCTTAACTGTATAAAAGCAGCGTATAATTAATTTAAATTCGTGCTCCAGCTTGCACTAATTATTTCACGTGCCAGAAGACGGTTGCCATTGGTTGTTTTTCGTTAAAATAAAATCGAAAGTGCTGAGTAGGAAACGAGCAAGGCAATATTTCTGGCAAGAATTCGAAAAGGGTTCTTCTTTAGAGGAAGGTTGGCAGCAGGAGATACAAAAAGGAAATAGGAATGAAAAACTGCCAGCAAGTTTTAAGGAACATGTTTCGTAGGCAGAGAGGATTTGAGCACTCATTAATCCACACCACAAAATTCTCTCCAAAATGCTTCTCAAGCATATGTAAGGGACGCGCTCTCTCAATGTTTTTCTTACTGATCACTCCAACTTCGGATGAATCTATACTAGTACTGGTTAATGTTTCTTTGCTAAGCAAAAACAGGTTCTTAAAAACAACTTCATAGATCTCTACCGATTTTCAGCTCCTTCGAGGGTCATCCTTAATGACAATTTTTTTCCGAAGGAGAGTCCATCACCTTGTTTGCTGAAGATCTAGAAGTTACAGTAATATTGCGTTTTCCTGTAAATGACATGTAGCAGTCATAATAATACTGTACACATCTGCAAATCTGATATATCTCTTTTAGTAAGCACTTATCACCACATAAATTAATCAGTTCACGAATCATACTACAGTTTTTTTTGTTTTTCAAAGTAGTGGCTCCCGAACATTCAGTTCTCGCTAAATGTGTTAATTCGGTATATAACTTGAAACACGTGTATTGTATTGTCAGTTTGAGAAGTATTTCTAATATTTCTTGCAGTTCTATGTGAACGATGTATTTTAACTTAAGATTTGTATTCAATGATTTTTTTCCTTGTCTACATTTCTCCACCAATGATAAGTGTACCAGTCTTCTGACATTTAAAACAGCAGCTGGATGGTGTTCTTGTCATAGTGTAGTATTAACAAAGGCGCGGCTTACAGTAGTAAGACTTTATATATCTAATACTACTACAATCAGCTTCATAACATTGCCCACTCAGACTGCTTTTGCACCAAAAGTATATTTGGTCACACTTTTAGTCTCTCTCTCTGGTTGAGCTATGGAAAAGAGAATCTCATTGGTTCAAACGTGACTTCTTGCAAAGGGTAGTTTCAATTCTATTCATATGTATAGTATACAAGATTTAAGCGTAGAAAAAAAAAGCTCTATCATTCCAATTTGGTAACATTCAGAATATTGAAGAGGACAAATTGGAGAACACATTTCAGCAAAAAAATCTTACTAGTATCCACTTTCAACTTTAATATTTATTTTTTAATCAGATATTTTGTGAAAACATGCAGTTTCAGGATAATGACTGAAATTTGATGTACGTTGATGTTCAGAATTTCGGATGGTGAGATATTTGAAATAAATTTGTTTCAAAAAATTCAAAACTTCTCATACCCCATGTTCTTAAAAAAATACAACTTTAATTAAACATCTGAGGCACACAAGTCGTGTTCCATATTCTTCCTACATTACCCATAAATCTAGTACGAAAATCAAATTGACACCGTATTAACGACTTGTCCATTAATAAAATAATTTGAGCTTGACACCTGTTTGCTAATTTGAGTGGCATGTTGCTTATTTGCTTCTATATCGTTACATATCCATAATTTTATTGACTTTGTAAAGAAAATTTGAAGAACAGGTTAAATATGTTGAATTTTGTTTAGATTGTGTGAATAATACGACAAAGACGGAAACAAAGATAAAATGGAAAATAAACCAAATGACAGTTATATTAAAACTAGGTGGTTTAAGAAAGAATGGAAAAAAATGGATTAAGATAAAATAGTGAATAAAAAAAACACAAGTGATAGTAATGATACATATAAAATAAGAATGTAAAGAACACATACTAATGAATTAAAAAATACTGAAAATGTTGGCTAGAAAATAATGAAGAATATAAATGAAAATGGGGAATTTTAACTGAGTTTGAAACAGAAAATCAAAAATTTGTATATAAAAAAAAGGGAGTAAAAAAGTAAGAAAGGTTGAGTAAAGACTTCATCAGACTTTAAAAAGGAAGATAAAAATTATGAATATAGAAATAGTAGAGAAAATAAATAAATTTGAAATAATAAATGCATAAAGTATTGTTGCGTCAGCGAGTCACATGACCACCGTGACGCAGTTTCTAGAACTATCATGTACTTTGGCGAATGTTCAAGTTCTTACTAGAAATAGGGTACGCTAGTATATAAAAGAGGGGAATGTAATGTGTGGAGAGTCAGTGTGTAATTGATCTGTGGTCAGAAGTATTACTGACGTTCGTTGATATAGCGCGATTGTTGAAGTTGAGTGTATCGGTAAAATTATATTCGGAAAGAATAAACCAGTTTTATTAAGTACAGACTTATGTCGCTTAAGTTTCGTCGGAACGAAGTTACGGAAAATTAATTAACACACGGAGACGTAACAAATTGGTGTCAGAAGTGGGATAGAAAAAAAAAAGAGAAGAAAATGGAAACGAGAGGCGGAAAATCAAACTACAGCTTAGCAGATTTAATGGCAGCAATACAAAACAAGAAAAGAAACAAGAAGAACGAGAAGAGAAATTACAACAGTTGTTAGAGGAAAAAGAAAAGAAACAAGAGGAGAAATTACAGCAGTTGTTGGAGGAGAAAGAAAATAAACAAGAAGAACGAGAAAAGAAACAAGAAGAGAAATTACAACAGTTGTTAGAGGAAAAAAAAAAGAAGAACGAGAAAATAAACAAGAAGAACGAGAAGCGAAATTACAACAGTTATTAGAGGAAAAAGAAAAGAAACAAGA